AAGAGGAGGGGAGGCACCAGGTTCCTTGTCAGGATGTGGCCAGGCACTCACACACGTCACTTCTGCATGCATTCCAGTCACACGGCCTTTCTAGCTGCAAGGCAGGCTGGGATTAGTCCCAGGTTGGGGACCAGGTACCTTTTGGTTCTCTTTTGCTCTGTGGCAAGAAAGGAGATGGAGTCCTGGGAAAGTAGAGACTTGTGCGGCACACCCCTGTCTGATTCCTTTCCCCCCTCTGCCCCAGGCCATCCTGACGCCTCTTTTTTCCTCCCCTCCCAGGGGTCGCCCTGAAACCAATGTTGGCCAGTCCCACGCGGGGCATCAGCCAGGTCCTGAAACGCTTCGAGGAGGCAGCTTTCACTTGCGAGTACAAATATGATGGGCAGAGGGCACAGGTATGGGGAGTGGGACACGGCCCTGCTGTTCCTCTCTGGCAGTGCCAGAGGGAAGGCTGGGCTCAGGCAGACCTGTGCTTAAAGCCGCCTGACCATGCTCATCACTCTGGACTGCAGTTTCCACCTCCAGGCAGGGAGTGCAGTGATAACCGGATTGTGGGCTTATCTAGAGATAAGGGCCTGACCTAGAGAGCGAGAGCCCAAGAAACGCCCGCCCACCCTTACCTGTGATGGGCGTAGTTATAACAGCCACTCGAGGGCACCTACCTGACCCTCAGTGCAGTAACATGTACATGTGCCCCGTGACCCAGGCCCTGAGGCACCCCTGATCATGTATCTGTAAGGATGAGTGTTGTGGCTTCTCTGTCCTGGAGGGAGCTGGGCCATCTTGGGGTTCATAACCTGAGGGTAAGGGTAAGCCAGCAAGGCAGGTGGAAGTCTGCAGGACTTCGGGTCAGCTATGGATGGAGAGTTCAAGAGACACTTAGCATCGTAGGTAGATCTCCAAAATAGTGTGTTGAAGGAAAAAAGAAAAAACAACTATGATAGTAACTGTACTTTTTGAATATTAACACACATGTAAGGTGGTGTACGTGTAGCCCTGTTCGACGAGTTCAACCAGATGGTACTAAATAAACAAAGTAACCACAGAAACCAGGATGGGGTTTACAGCATACTAACGTCTGGACAGATGTGTGTATGCACAGACGGCAAGACGTACGTGCCTAAGGGGGCAAGGAGTAGGACTGGGGTGACAAAAGATGGCGGGGGCTCCCACAGACGAGGAGATGATTTGCACAGGTCTCCGTACCAGTTCCTTTTCCAGAGCTTCCAGAGCCTATGAGTGAAGGCGAGGTCACAAGAGAAAGGAGGAGCCACACAGGGTAGGCTGGGTCTGACTTCTTCTCTTCCCCACTGTGGCAGATCCACATGCTGGAAGGCGGCGAGGTGAAGATCTTCAGCAGAAATCAAGAAGATAACACCGGGAAGTACCCTGACATCATCAGCCGCATCCCCAAGGTAGGCGTCTGCTGTACCGTCCGTGCTGTCAGGAGCCGCGGTTACAGGTGCAGATCTGAGGCTCGTCCAGGCCAGCGTGGTGTAGTGGGGGTTTATCTGACGGAGATCGGATCGTGTTTTGGTAGCACAAAACCCACTTGAGCAATGCCTGAGAAAACTGGAGGCAGATGGCCCCTGGCTGAGCCAGCATCCTCCCAAACCCAGCTTGCCTGCTTCTCGCCTACTGACCTTGGCTTTTCCCAATGCTTGTCCCCTGACAGTCCCCAAATAGCCCTCACACTTTCAGACAGGAAGACAGGAAAAAAGATTCTAGCGATGGTGATAATCACTGTGCAGCGCGTGTTGGTGGGGCTCCTGTGACGTGCCAAATGCTGTTTTTTAAATATTGATTTTAAAATCTTTTGTTAAGATGTAACTTCTGTAAATGTTTCTGATTTAAGCATGTAGTACACGGCTTGATTAGTTTTGACAAGTTTATATATCCATCACCACGCCCCAGTCAACGTGAAAACATTTCCATGTTCTCCTTGCTCTAAAATGTCTCCTGTGCCCCTGGTTGTACGAATCCTCTCTTCTGCCCCTGACCATTTGCCTGCCAGAGGCAATCCCTGATCTGCACTGGAGTCGCCAAGGTTGGTTTTGCCTGCTGCAGAGCTTTTCACAAGTGGCTACAGTGCGCAGTTCTTTCTGTCTGGCTGCTTCTGCTCATTTACTCAGTAGGTATTCAGGCCATTCACTCTGTGCTGGGCCCTGTGCTTTGGGCCAGTCATGGTCTCTGCCCTCCCTGAGTTCTCAGCCTAGCAGGGCAGGCACCTCCATCAGGGAGTCTGGCTTTCAGATCAGTGCTTATACGTGGAGATCAGGGCTCTGAAGACAAGGCCCTGTGTTTGGAGCCTGTGTACAAAACAGACCTGACTTTGGCTTCCTAGGGGAGCCACATGATGCCTCCTGGAGTGGTACAACACGTGTTCCATTGAGGGTAAAAGGCTTCCCGGAGGCAGTGAAGGAGAAGGATGGGGGTGGGATGATGGGGCTTCTGCTGGTGGCAAGTGGATGGCTTAGAGAGCTTTTGGAGGGAAATCGACAAGTTCTTAGGGGCATTGAATGTGGGTGAGAGGAAGAGGGAGATGACAAAGTCTCCAGGCTTTCCAGCTTGTGGAGCCAAATAGAATATCCTCAGAAAAGTTGGGCTTTTTCCCTCCCTGTGGGGAATAAGAGAAGAGAAAGAAAAGGAGATTTGTTTTCTGTGTCTGTCTTTTGACCTGTCCTTCACCTCTCACAAACCTCGGATCTCTTCCTTCCTTCTTCAGATTAAGCTCTCGTCGGTCACATCTTTTATCCTGGACACTGAAGCTGTGGCTTGGGACCAGGAAAAGAAGCAGATCCTGCCATTCCAAGTGCTCACCACCCGCAAACGCAAGGTAACCTCAGCCTCTTCCGTTGCACTCCACAGCCCCATACTCCCTCATCGTCGTCCTGTAGGGAACGGCCAAATCTGAGCTAAATAATAGTGACCTTTAAAGACGAGCAGATACACATACTGTCTTGCTTTGGCCAATGCTGCACACCTAGCAGAGGTTAAAGAAAGTTGTTTCAGCCAGAGGAGGCCAGGTGGGGCTTATTTAGACCAAAGGACACAAGATGCTCCATAGCTGAGTTGATAGTAGAAGACACCTGGCTTTACCGTCTGCTGCTCCCTTCCCCCATTGCCCTCTAAAAGAGTAAACCTGGGGAAGGCTCAGGGCCAATGCTCTCCCTCAGAGACGTCCAGTCCACCGCTTTTCTCTACTTGTGTGTCTGTGTGATTGTTCTTTCCAAAATCCACTGTTGCTTCCACTCAGAGGTGAGGGGGGCTCCTCCCCTCTTTTTACCTAACAGGTATCGACATCCTCCCAGTCTTGCTTATGGGTCCTGCCCGGTCCTCAGGAGGGCAGTGTCAGTACACATGCAATTCTCCAGCCTTTAGCAAACTGGCTGCCCCAGTTTCAACCATTGGCATTCTCATCCCAGCATTCCAAGTAGGAAGGTGGAAAGGACCCTTTTCCTTCTATCTCCGTTATCTTACTATGAAAGAAGATCTGCTCTGAAAACCCTCACGGCGTGCAGCCTGGCAGGCACCCCCTTTATATCTCACTAGCCAAAACTGTGTCATGTCACTGCCATTAGCTGCAGGGGAGGCTAGAAGAGGCAGTGTCTGGTGACGGGAAATGAGGGCGTCAGGATTAGCTGAGTGCCATCATAATGCAGTGTCGGGGCTGGCAGCTCTGCCACCCTCACAAGTACCACGTGGCCTGTTAGCTGAGAAGGAGGGAGGCACGACGGGCAGGACCCAACCTGCCCTGCCTCACCTTCTCTCACTCCTGTCTCCATTCTGCCCCAACTCAGGAGGTGGACGCTTCGGAGATCCAGGTGCAAGTGTGTGTGTACGCCTTCGATCTCATCTACCTCAACGGAGAGGTGAGCTCTGGCTTCCTGTCCCAGCGGCTGTGGGATGACAGGGCTGTGTGGGCTCGGGAGCCAGCCGTTTGACTTTCATTTCTGATCCTGCCATGCTACTGGGCCCAGAGGCCACGCTCAGCAACTGGTTCAGTTCTCAAAGTGTGGTGCAAGGACCTTTATGAGTCCCCAGACCTTTTTAAGGGGTCCTCCCCTTTCCAGCTCCACATCTGTGTGAGGCGGGTTTTCTTCACACAGTCCAGCCAGAACACCACAGCACAGCATCTGAATGCAGAGCACACGTGAGAACTAGGCTCTGTTAAGTCACAGTCAAGGGAATGCAAAACTGCAATACTGCCCTTCTTTTCACTGAGTTTTATAAACATAGGTGTATTTCATAAGTAAACGTCATTTGGCATATTGGATTCATTTTCTTTTTAAAGAAATATATATATGTGCTTTGTTTTTTTGGTTTTTTTTGTTTTGTTTTGTTTTGTTTTTTAATTTAACCAGAGAGAGAGAGGGAAAGTGCAAAAGCAAGCTGCCAGCTCTGGAACTCAAACTGTGGTCGGTCATGTGGGAGTCCAGCACCTCAACTACCATGCCACCTGCTGGCCACAGGATTCATTACTTTTTTTTAAAGAATTAATATTTTTTAAGTTTCTCACTTTCTATTGTTTTTTCTTCTCAGTTTTTGTCACAGGGTATGTGTGCTTGCCAGAGAGAGACAGAGAAAGTGAGAAGTCAACCCTCATGAGGGAGTGGGTCATGGCCATGCTGCAATCCTCTTCCTCCAGTCTCTCATCAGGATTTTAGGCATACATGCACATGCACCCAGCATGATTTTCAAACCACCAGTTCTGGGACTCAAACCACAGAATCAGCCACACGAACAGAAATTCTTTTTTTTTTTTTTTTTTGGTGGTTTTAGGGCGCGTGCGCTCGCCAGACAGACAGAGAGAGATAGAGAGACAGAAAGCAAGAAATCCCCCAGGAGGGATGGCCACGCCGCAATCCCTTCTCCTCCATTCTCCTCTTGGGATCTTGGGCACGCACGCACACGTGCCCGGCGTGAGTTTAAAGCCACCGGGTCCGGGACGCAAACCGTGGTCGACTACATGGGAGTCCAGCGACATAGCCATTACGCTAACTGCTGGTCCCATGAACAGAAATTCTTTAGAATGAGTCCTCAGTTACATCTTTTTGAATTTTTTTAGAGAGATTTTTGCTTCAGGGTGTTTATGCTTGTGAAGAGACAGAGAGACAGAAAGCAAGAAATCACCCCCCAGAAGGGATGGCCATGCTGCAGTCCCATCTCCATTCTCTCGAGATTTTAGGGCACACACACATATATGCACATGCACCCAGCATGTTTCAAGCCACCGGGTCTGGGACTCAAACTGTGGTCAACCATGTGGGAGTCCAGTGCTTTAGCCACTATGCCACCTGCTAGTCCCCTCAGTTATTTTTAAAGAGTGTCAAGGGGTCCTGAAACTGGAAAGTTTGAGAATCACTGCGTTGGCATATTAAGAATCGAGTTCCTGGGAACCAACAGTTAGCGTAATGGCTATGTCGCTGGACTCCCACGTAGTCGACCATGGTTTGCGTCCCGGACCCGGTGGCTTAAAACTCACGCCAGGCGCATGTGCGTGCGTGCCCAAGATCCCGAGATGAGAATGGAGGAGAAGGGATTGCGGTGTGACCATCCCCCCTGGGGGTGATTTCTCGCTTTCTGTCTCTGTCTGGCGAGCGCACGCACCCTATAGCGAAAAACCTTAAAAAAAAAAAAAAAAAAAGAATTGAGTTCCTCATCTCAGAAAGTAGAAGTTCTCACCTTGGCCTAGTAGGGGGAGCCATACCTCCCCTGGGAGTGGACCAGGGAGGACCCTGCTAGGAGGTTTCTTTCCTCTTCCTTTTTTCCCTGCACCCTCCCTCTACTCATCCCCTGAGGGCTCCAGGCTGCTTGCTGGTATTCCGAATGTGACTGCAGATCAGGTCTCTGCCACAGCAATATCCAGCAGGGCTATGCCTGGCATTCAGGGGAATCATCTACCGTGGGAGGACTTAGTTCAATCCCGATAAAGCCACAGAGAGCTGGTCAGTTTTCACAGCTGCTGAGTTCTCTTCAGAGGACAGGTTGAGTATCCCTACCCTAAAGGCTTGGGATAGAGTGCTCAGGATTTCAGGAGCTTGGGGTTTTGGAATATTTGCGTGTACCTGAGGTATCTCAGTGAGGGGACCCACGTCTAAACATGAAATTCATGTATGTTTCATAAACCTTTTATACACAGCCTGAAGGTCATTTTGTACAGTATTCTTGTATTACAGTGTTTCGATCGCGACCTGTCCCAAGAGGTCAGGTGTGGAATTTTCCACTCATGGTGTCTTATAGTGCTCAAAAAATTTTATATTTTGGAGCATTTTTGGGTTAGAGATCCTTAACCCATAGAAACAAGCAGAGCTTTCCTGTGAACAAATAGAGAAAATCTAGTTCAGGGCTCTGCCAGCTGTGGCCTGCAGCCCTTCCCCCTGCTTTTGTAAATAAGGCCTATTAAAGAAGGCAGCCTCACCCACTCCTTCACAGGTACCCAAGCTGCTTTTGCCCTGCGCCTCAGCATTGAATGGTTACAGAGACCAAATAGCCAGAGAGCTGAACATACTTACTGCCCAGTTCTTCAGAGGAAAAGTTTGCCGACCTGCAGATTAACATTTAAAATGTCCTCTCACATAGGGTCACATGCTTCATTTTTGCCTTTATTCAGTAAAGTGTGGATTCAAGGCTGGGGCTCCCTGTCCAGTGTTACTGAGGTCACAGACTAAATGGTGTCCAGCCCCCCATCACTAGCCCCATGCTTCGAATTAGCAGAATCCCCCAACAGCTGCTTTCTGTGAACTACATTGTGATTGAGACTCACACGCTTCCCATTTGTCTCGAGGTCAGGTCCTGTTGTCCTTGTTTCCATAATGATGTTCTTTCCTTCCTCCCTGGCCCCTCAGTCCCTGGTACGTGAGCCCCTTTCCCGACGCCGGCAGCTGCTCCGGGAGAACTTTGTGGAGACAGAGGGTGAGTTTGTCTTCGCTACCTCCCTGGACACCAAGGATACCGAACAGATCGACGAGTTCTTGGAACAGTCAGTCAAAGGTGAGGGCACTGCTCTCTCTGCCAAGGACCAGGCCTCTCTGTAACCTGTGCTCACCAGGGACCCCATCCTGCCCCATCCTGTAACACCAAGAAGAATCACACCCACCACAGCCCTTGGAAGCCAGGCCTCTCAGGGACCATTATTGTGTCTCCCTTAGACTCCTGCGAGGGGCTGATGGTGAAAACCTTGGATGTCAATGCCACCTACGAGATCGCTAAGAGATCACACAACTGGCTCAAGGTGGGTCCCACCCCAACCTGGCCTTCTGCGCTAGAGGTCTATTCCGGCTAGCTGGTTGATTTTGAGTCTCCACCCTCACCACTGATCTCAGGAGTCTATTCCTTGACCCTACCCCCAGCCTCCCTACGCAGTCAGGCTTGGGTTTCTCCCCTTTGCCAGCCCACACTAAAGATTTCCCTAAAAAGTGGTTGAGAACCACACAGCCCAACCCCTGCGAGTACCACGGTGAGAAAGGTAGAGAAGGTTTTTGCTCTCTCCGAGCTTGCCTTCCATGCTGAGTGAGGCACACAGGAAGGAATGAGAGAGTGTCGGGCACTGATGAGCACTGCAGAGAAAGCAAGGCCACCCAGGCCCGTGAGTGGCTGGCAGTGCTTGGATGGTCAGGAAAACCATTTCTGGAGGTGACGTTTTGACCGATAGCCAGATGACAGGAGGGGGCAACCACATGAAGATAAAGGACCAAACACCGATGCAAGGGAATAGCAGGTGCAAAGACCCCGGGGTAGGAACAAACACAGCATGTGGAAGAATCTGGGAGGCAGAGTGTGGCCAGAGTGGAGTGTAAGCCCAAATCGTGAGCACCACGAAGTCCCATGAGATAAAATGGTTTTCCTCTGAGCGTGTCAGGAAGCCAATGGGTTTTGTGCACGAGAGTCACATGGTCGGATTATCCTGTTGCTAAGTCCTCTGTGGAGAGTGGACAGGTATGGTGGGGGTTGGAAAGAAGTGGGAGCCAGGAAATAGGAAGCTATTGTCTGGTAAGAGGTGATGGAAGCTTCAGTGGAGAAGGGGCATCGAGGGGTGGGAAAGATGTCTAAAGTGGAGACATTTTGGAGCTGAGTTAGCCAGGCCTGCCGACTGGATCTTCCAGGGTATTTGTAATTTGTTGGGGTCTGTCTTCCCTCCTGACTGAGCAGCTGTGAGCATACAGACCTTTCCTGCCTTGTGGAATATGCACCGTCGTACCCCTCAAGGCTGAGCTGCCTGGCACACAGTTGGTGCTTATTAAGTGTACCTTGAATGATTGCATACATGTTCTTTGTGGGAAGGAGAGAATGAGTTGACTGTATCTCCATAAGGAAGGAAAGAGAATCCAAGCTGACTCCCGAGGTCCCTTTGATCCCACCTGCTCTCTGTAGGTGCCCTTCTCTGGGCCTGGAGGCCTTCCCACATCCACGCTCCTCACAGTGGCCATCCTTGTGTTTTTTCTGCAAGTTCCCTGCACTTTACCCCAAGTCTCTCTCCACCTCCCTCAAGCCTCCAGCAGGAAAATCCCCCTGGGAACTCCTCCCTCATCGCCTGCATCTGCCCTCCCCACCCTCTAGCAAGCTTCTGGCAGGGAGGTCCTCCTGGGTGCTCCTCCCTCATCGCCTGCCTCCCCTCTCCCAGCTGAAGAAGGACTACCTCGATGGCGTGGGTGATACACTGGACCTCGTGGTGATCGGTGCCTACCTTGGCCGGGGAAAGCGAGCTGGCCAGTATGGGGGCTTCCTGCTGGCCTCCTACGATGCAGACACTGAGGAGCTACAGGCCATATGCAAGGTCCTGGGGGGGCTGGGGACTGGCCACCAAGGCTGGAGGGAAGTACGATTTGACTCCTAGGGGCTTCTCCTTGGACAGCTGGAGAGGGCCCAGGCCAGGAAGTTCTCATGTCCTCCTTGGAAAGGTGATATTTACCCATAGTTCTTAATTTTTCAGATTCTTTACCTCTTGCTTCATATAAGCAAAGGGGCCAGTATAGAAAGGTGTGAGGAAGCTATGGCAGGAGTAGGTTTCAGCTGCAAATAATGGTGGCTTAAATAAGAGGATTTATTTTCCACTTATGTAATGAGAAATCTGGAGGGGACAGGTGGCTCTGGTGTCATTAGAGCCTCATCATCACAATGTGGCTGCAGGAGCTCCAGCCATTATAGCCATGCATGCTCCAAACAGCATGAATGGAAGGCTCAGGCTCAAGGACAAAACAAGAAGCCCACCTGAGTCAGCCTCAGCCACTGAACAACTTCTGCTTAAGTTTCGTTAACCCATGACCAACTCCTACCTGCAAGGGATTCTGGGAAGGTGTGTTTGTTTTTTTAGTTAAAACATTTTTTTAAGCTGTCACATTGTGACTGGATTTTTTTTTTTTTCTGTGTTTTTTTTATCTAACTAATTTGGGTCTTGCCCCATTAAAACAGAAAAAAAAAAATATTACCTATATTCTTACTGTCCATAGGCAAAATACTAGTAACATTATTTAAGGGAATGTTTTATTTTTGTTTTTACAAAGTTATGATCTCCCTCCATGAGTAATTTTATTTTTCACCTTTTTTCTGTGAGTACTTAACTTTAAATGCTGTCAAATGCATTTAAGTAAGTAATCTGGTAACATGACCTTAAAGGCCTGTACCAGAACCTTCAATGGATATACCCCAATTTCCAGAATCATTGCACTGGTCGGAAAACCCATAATGCACTTTTGCATAGAAAAAAGAAAAATTTTTCTGACAACCCAGTAGTTCGCAGCCATCATGTGGTTAGATTTTTTTTTTTGAGAGAGAGATTTTTTGCTATAGGGTGGATGCACTTGCCAGAGAGACAGAAAGCCTCCCCTGGTGGCTTTGTTTTTATAAATAATGTCAGTGCCCGATAATGTGAACAGTCAGTAGAAGTGATTTTATAATGTGCAAATATTTTGGGCACCAACCTGTCACCATTTTGTGTCGTTTACTTAGATTTTTAAAAGAGCTGTTGTCAGGACACAAGGCAAGAACAATTTTAAAGCTCTTACTACAGAAAGGGCTTTCCACTAACAGTTTGTATCAGCAGTTTGATGATGCCTGTCTTGTGAAATGTCTACCAGCATTGAGTAGCAGTACTGTTTTTAGCCTGTGCTGCTGCTCCAGTAGCTGAAAGAAACTCTTGGCAGTGTTAAGCCTGGAGACAGCTGGTTATCAGCCAGCCAGTGGGGCTGAGCCCAAGGGAGCAGCTTCCTGGGCCTGGGAGACAGAGTAGATGAGCAAAGGTTTCTCCGTAAAGCAGGAGGCAGGGAGGGAGGTAGTGGGATGACTGCTGGGAGAGTTGTTCCCTACCTGAGAGTCTGGCTGTCCACTGAGATGCTGGCTGGATGCTCAGCACCCCCAGCCACCACCACCACCCAGTTCCTCTGGTTTCTGTGGATACTTCTTGGACTGGATGGGATGGTACCACCAGCGTGCACAGATTTAGGCCCTTGGACAGCAGGAGGTGCCAGGCCAGGCAGCAGCCAAGACTCTAACCTCCCATGTCCCTGCAGCTCGGAACTGGCTTCTGCGATCGCGAGCTGGAGGAACAGCACGAGAACCTCCAGGTGAGCCGTAGTGGCCATGCCTTGGGCCCTCTGCCTGTACAGCTCACTCTTGTATGCAGACTGCCACCATCCTGGAGCTTGGTGTGTAGGCTGGGGTGCAGACACAGGCAGGGGGTGACAGAACCAGATTTGGAGTCCAGCACATCGGGGTCAAGTCCCAGCTCTGTTGACTGCCAGCGACGCGGCCACAGAACCTCATCCCCCCCAGCCCAGTGCCTGCACCGCAGTAGGCGCAGTCCCAGCACTGCTGCAGGGCTCCCATGAACTGGTCCTTGGGAGGGTTAGGTGAGCCCCTAGTGAATGGAGGGTTGGCTGTTGTGGTCAAGACATTTTGGGGTATGAGTGTCCTGGGAATTGGATCTCTCTGTGTCCTGTTTATTTCTCACCCAGTAGTTTTGTCTGTTCTCTCTCTCTCTCTCTCTCATTCTCTCTCTCTCTCTCTCTCTTTCTCTCTCTCTCTGAATCTACACTTTCCTCTAGTCCTCCTACATCTCCTGGTCTGTTCCCTTTTTCTGGATCTCTGTCCTCCCCTTTCTCTAGGTCTCTGTCCTTCCCTCTCTAGTTCTCTGTCTCTTCATCTTTAATATCCTGTCTCAGTTCCCAGGGTCTTTTATTTTTTTCCATCTCCCCTTCCTCTCCACCCCTTCTCTCCCTGCCAGCTTTGTACTGTAGGGGTATTCATTTCTTCATTCTCTTTCCTCCTTTTCCTTTCTCTTTTTTTGCTTTCCAACCCCTGACCTTTGGTCTTTACTTTGAGAACCAAGAACCCCTTCTCTTTCCCACAGGACCTGGTGCTGCCCACCCCACGCTCCTACGTGCGGGTAGGTGGTGCCGCCGCCCCCGACCACTGGCTGGAGCCCAGAATTGTGTGGGAGGTGAAGTGTGCCGACCTCTCCCTGTCCCCCATCTACCCTGCTGCCCGGGGCCTGGTGAGTAACCGGGGCCCTTGGCTGGGCCCTGTAAAGCAATTCTAGGAGGAAAGCTGGGATCAGAGCGGGAAGGGGACCTCGAGTCCACAGCTTCTCTTCCTAGGTGATAAGAAAACTTGAGCATGCATTTGAGTCAGGTATCAGACATGTGATTAAAAATCTATCTTTCGGGCATGGTGGCGCCCGCCCTCTGGCAAAAATCTATCTTTCAAAGATAAATTCCTCAGGAGTAGAAAGAAAGCAGTGACATTGCTCCTTTTAATATCATAATCTCAACTTCCCAAAATCATTTCTGGAAATTGTGTTCCTGGAAGTAAAAGCTTAGTATATTTTCCACTGAGCTTTCACATGGACAACCGCAATTTCTGCCTTAACTGTGATGCACTTTCGCACTACCAGGCTTTAGAACTCCTTGACTCACTTCCCTCACTGGTGGTCAGTTCTCGGCACTTGCCAGGGCCAGTGTGTGCACCAGGAGCACACCAGCCCAGGTCTGGCCCTCGGAGAACTGCCCTCTCCTTCAAGAGGGCAGTAGATCACAAATTAAAATTGCACTTTTTTTTGAGATTTTTATTAGACCCTTTGAGTCTTAGCATGGACATTTCTAATTAGAAACAGATTTCCATTATTCAAGGGAGAGCTCATATTTTTTATCTAGTTTTTTTTTTTTCTTTTCCCTCACTCATGCAGTGTGTTAGTGAAGATCCCCAGGTAAACAGTAACAGGAGCCCTGTTTATGGAGTGCTTCCTGTCAGGTGGGCACTGCGTTAGCATGTCCTTTGTACACGTCCCTTTTATCTTCACAATCATGCTGAGACGTGGCAACATGAATGCCGCTGTCCAGTGAGGAGATAGAGCCCCAGGGAGTGTAGGCAACTGGCCTTGCCAGGGTCGTGTGATTCCTCGGAGTTTGGGAGCTGGTATTTGAACTCAGTAGCCTGGTTCTAGAATCCACGGTCTGACTGCTGTTCTGCCTGGCAGCCTAATCAGCACATTGATGCATATGAGCAGCTGGCCTTTCTTAAGCCCTTGCTGTATTCCAGGTACAGTTCCACACACTTCATCAACTTGTTACACCCACCCTTTGCCCAGTCACCACTGTATGGATCAGGAAATTGAGGCCAGAAGGCACCCTGGACAGGGAGGGCTGTGGCCAGCAAACCACAGACTAGACCATAGGAGTTTCTTTTCTCACCTCCTCCTTCCCCAGGTGGATAGTGAGAAAGGGATCTCTCTTCGCTTCCCTCGGTTTATACGAGTCCGTTACGATAAAAGGCTGGAGGAGGCCACCACCAGTGCCGAGGTGAGACCCTCAAGGAGGGGTGGGGCACCCTGCTTCTTGCCTGGACCAGCTTCCTAGTGAGGTGGCCTCTGGCCTGAAATACTGGGTTGGGTAGCCAAGGCGCTCTGACACTCTCTCCCACTGTCTCTCCTCAGGTGGCCTCTCTGTACCTGAAGCAGAGTCAGATCCAGAACCAGCAGAGCTCAGACTCAGACTCTGACTTCGATTTTCTCTGCTAAGCCCCTGCCTTCCCAAGTGACTGGGGCAGAGGGCAAGAGAGGTGGCAGGAACCCGGGAACATTGCCTGTGTCTTGGAGCAAATCGGGTGTTGATTCTGTGTGGTTTTTCAGAGACAAGTGTGTATGTGTGAGGGGCTGGATTTCACTCATTTCTTTCAATAAATAAGTGCTAAGTGTCTCATCTCGGACAAAGTCCGTGCTGGGTCCTGTGGATAGAGCTATGGTAGCTCCCACTTGTACGGCATGTGACAGTGTGCCTGGAACTGTCTGCACCAGTGCCGTGCAGTGGGACTTCTCTCTGCACCATGCAGCCTGACAGCCAGTGGTCCCCTGCTGCGATGGAACACTTGACTTATGGCCAGTGCGATTGAGGGCTCAGATTTTTCATTTAATTAATTTGGATTCAAATAGCTGAATTTGACTAGTCACTGTTGTATTAGACAGCAGCAGCCTTTTACACACACACACACACATATGTGCTGCATATGCTGTTGTGGTGACTGATGGGCCATGGGTACGACAGTGGTCCGATTGGGAGCATTCAAGCCGTGGACAGCCTAGGTGTGTAGTGGACAACACCATCTAGGTTTGTAGAAGCGCACTCTGGGGTGTTGACACATGATGAAAGTGCCCAGTGACTTATTTCTCAGAACACAGGCCCTTGAAAAAGTGATACCCAACGGTGTACATCTTAGTGCACATCTTGGTAAAGTGATGCCCAGCGGTGTACATTTAGCCTCCCAGCCAGCCCCAGGCAGGCGCTCAGCTCTGTAGGTGTGGATGAGGAAAGCATGGGAACGGTAAGTGGCTAACCTGGGACCCCAGCACCAGGGCTCTGACATGGGGGTCTGGCTCCAGGACCCACACTTTTCGAGTAAGCTCTCCATTTTCTTAGACAATATAAGTGCAGTGACTTGTATGTGACTCTCAGCCCTGCCACCCACCATCTGGGGACCAGGTGCAGCCTCAGAATCCTCAGCTGTTCCAGATGTCCGTCACCCATGAGGATGGGTGGTTCCCCTGCCTGGTTTGTTCATACTTACCCCCGCCTGGCACATAGGTGCTCAGCAAGTCATGGCTGAACTCTGTCTCCTCTAACATGAGGTGACACTCCAGCATCCTTTCACCACCTTCCTTCCAGAGCCCTCCCTGAGTGCTGACTCCCCCTCCCATAGAGCTTGGGGATGGTCCCCTGTCTGCAGTGTATTTGCAGATAGTTCAAGCCAGCCTGGCCAACACTGGCAACAGGATGGCCTTTGGGACCAAGGGAAGGAGTCTTCTAGAAAAGCTGTTGTTCAGAAAAAGGATTGCAGAGAGCACTGGGCCTAGCAGTGTCTCTGGACCTGCAGCAGTCCCGGGCCACCAGCTGGAAAAAAGTAGCAGGATGGCTGCTCTGGCCACCAGCTGGAAGAGAGGAGCAGGATGGATGCTGTGGCCACCAGCTGGAAGAGAGGAGCAGGATGGATGCTGTGGCCACCAGCTGGAAGAGAGGAGCAGGATGGATGCTGTGGCCACCAGTTGGAAGAGAGGAGCAGGATGGATGCTGTGGCCACCAGCTGGAAGAGAGGGGCAGGATGGATGCTGTGGCCACCAGCTGGAAGAGAGGAGCAGGATGGATGCTGTGGATGTGAAAGAGGAGCAGGATGGATGCTGTGGCCACCAGCTGGAAGAGAGGAGCAGGATGGATGCTGTGGCCACCAGCTGGAAGAGAGGGGCAGGATGGATGCTGTGGCCACCAGCTGGAAGAGAAGAGGAGCAGGATGGATGAGCAGAGCAGAGCCAGATCTGCACACTTGGAGCCACTCTCTGCCAGATGCATTACAGATAAGTCCCTTCCAGTGTTGTCATTCAGGGCTGCTGTCACCTGCAGTTGGAGGCATCCTCAGTGGGCCTGGCATGAGGATGACAAGAGGGTAGAGCAGAAGTGTCAAGGCGTGGCCCAATCCACCAGCAGCTGAGTCATCTTTACCTGTGGCCTCAGAAATGCAAACTTGAGGGGGTCAGCAGAGGGCGTGGTGGTTAAAGACACTGGACTCACATGGCTGACCATAGTTAAAAGTCCCAGACCTGGTAGCTTGCTTTCTCACTTTATCTTTGTCTGTCTCTGTTCAGATTTTAAAAAGTAAAATAACTGAATAAAGAGAAATGCAAAACTTCAGTGGGTGGCATAGTGGTTGAGGTGCTGGATTTCCATGTGGCCAATTGCTGTTCAAGTCCCAGACCTGGTGGCCTTTCTCTCTTGTGTGTCCTATAGCAAAAGGATAAAATAGGGACCAGCAGTTGGTGTAGTGGTTATGTCACTGACTCCGACAAGGTTCGAGTCCTGGGCTCAGCAGCTTAAAACTCAGGCTGGGGGCATGTGTACATGGACCCAGGACCCCAAGAGGAAGGTGGAGGAGAAGGGATTGCAGTGTGGCCATTCCTTTGGGGGAAGATTTCTCACTTTCTGTCTCTGGTGAGTGCAGACGCCATGTAACAAAAATCTCTAAAAAAATAATAAACCTTAAAAAAATGCAAACTGAGTTTCACTTAAAGCCTATTTATTTCATCCCATTTAACCTGCAGCTGGACTCACCCCAAAAGTAATGGCCAAGGAATTACCCACAAGAGACTATTCCAAACTCCCAAGATGGGGCCAGGTGGGATTCCAAAGAAAGTGCTGTTGGTTTAGTCCGTCCAAAGCACTGGTTGGGAGTTGCTCAGTGTTATCCCAATCACTTGTTTGCACATTTGATATTATATTTCCCTGTATCCTTCAGTCCTCCAAGTTTGCAGAGATCCAGTCTTCACCCAATGCTGGCTTAGCTCACTGCGGGGCTCCTCTACCCAGGGGCCTAAAATTTAGCAGTCAGGTCAGCCTGTATGCGAGCTGTGATGGACCCTGGTCAGGACTGCTCTCGGTGGTACCCGGGCACTAGTGAGGATAGTACAACAGCAAGGGAGAAAGCAGCTCATGTCAACAGCAGGAAGATGCTGCGTCTGGAGCTTCTCACTGCCATGGAGGCCTCTGTGCCTCTCCATGGGATAGAGAAAGATGGCAGACAAAGATAGGGAACTTTTCTGCAGTCAGGGAAGGGACTTGGGCAGATCTGGGAGTGAGAAGATCATGCTGACGAGAAGTATGCAGACATTTAGAGATGAGCCTAGAGTTGATGGAGCAGTGGGGATTGCCTGCTCCTTGTAAAATCTTTTTCTGCCTTGCAGAAACTGTCAAGACCCAGCAGGGTGGGAAGATGTGCAGGAGGACGTTGGATGTTTGTAGGAGCCACACCAGCAAGCACATTGCCTGTTCACACCCCACTGCAGTGACTGGAACTTAAGCACATGAACACACAAGGCTGGGCCACACAAAGTCTCCCTCTGCAAAGGTTACTGGAAAATGCAGTAACTCACTAGGAAGCCACTGCTTAGCAATGACTGCTATTATTGGAGCTCACAATTTAGTTTTTGCTGTAGAGCACTTGCTGCAGACAGAGACAGAGGGAAAATGAGAAAGCACCCTCTGGGGGAGAGGGCCAAGCTGAGCTCACAGATTTTTACTTTTTTAATGTTTTTGCCTTAGAGCATGTGTGCTTGCCAGAGAGAGAGACAGAGGGGAAGTAAGAAATCACCCCCCAGGTAAGATGGCCACACCACAATCCCTTCTTCCTCCATTTTCCTCCTGGGATTTTGGGCATGCATGCATGTTTCCAGTATGATTTTCAAGCCATTAGGTCTAGGACTCAAACCGTGGTCAGTCATTTGAGAGTCCAGTGCCTTAACTACAACACCACCTGCTGGTCCTCTAACAGACTTTTTACAATAGACATCAAATCAATGAGAGTTGGCTCTACGTGTTCTTACCTCATTTAACTCTCCCCCACAACTCTACTTATTGTGACCATCAGCCTCATATTTCAGGTAAGGAATTAAGTTAGAGGGTTCAGTTACTTGCTACAAATCTCCACTGGTAAATGAAGGGCTAGGTTTGACCAGGACCCTGGAGCTCTAAAGACTTCAGTCTGACCTGTGAAATAAATAGTTTACTCTGTTCAGCTTTGAATGTTTCTCCAAACTCCACCCAGCTCACTATGATAAGAATGTTAAGTTCGCTGCCAGGTCCAAGCAACTCCAATGAGTATCTGCTTTCAAATGCCATTTCCTTATCTGGGATGTCGGGCATGATGTGAGTGGTGATGCGTGCTCTTATCTGGACTTGGCAGGCAGGGCAGGGCTGTTCTGGGCACTTATCCATCAGCAAAGTACCCTGCCATTTTGGTAATAAAATCAACAACAGCACAGGTGGCTGCCAGAAACATCCTGTCATTGGAAAGAGGTGCTGAGCTCCTTCCATACAGACTCCCAAGCAAGGTAAGCTGGTGCCGGGGGTCAGAATGGCAAAGGCTTGGTGGTTTAGAAGGTCCCTTTCTGAGGGACCAGCAGATGATGTGATGGTTACATCACTAAACTGCCACATGGCTGATTGCGGTTCAAGCCCCAGACCAGGAGACCAGCAGACTTGAAGCTTACACCAGGCATGTGCGTGCACATGCATGTCCAACATTCTGAGAGGAAGAGAAGGGATTGTGTTGTGGCCATTCCCCCCTGGCAGGTGATTTCTTGCTTTCTGTCTCTCTGGGGAATGCATGCACCTTATAGCAAAAATCTCTTAAAAAAATAAAAGGTCCCTTGTCTCTACCAGAGCTTCAGGTGCAGAAGACCAGTTGTGTGTGGAAAGAGGGCACTGCCATCATCTGAGACGGGAAGGTGAATGTGTGGCACTTAGCAGCAGAGCACTGTGCCTGAGGACAGCCTCATCCGGGTTTCAGGAATTGCAGGAGTGTTCAGGAACTGATTGAGTTAGCTTAGAAACGTGTGCCCCAGAGCGTGCTTTCACTGATAGATTTCACTGTGTCATCACTGGCCTGAGACTGTGGTTAGTTATCTGGGTCACTGTTGCTAATAGCCAACGATTGGACTGGGACTGCTTCCAAAGCAATTCTGCTGGTAGCTTGGAGCTATAGCCAAAGTCCAGTTCCTTTGAAAGAGGAACTTTTTACACACATTTGGAAACTGCTTTGCCAGTCACTAGTGGAGACTGTGGGTGAGTCCTGTTATCGCACTGAATCATCTAGACCTTGGGGATAATTGTGTCCAGATTACAGGGCCATTGTGGGATTTCAGGGACGATGGGTATGTGAATGCTAAGCTGGTATGACAGAGAACCATGTTGGTCTTTCATGTCCCTGACCAGGCATTCCATTTTTGTGTATCTTAGCCTTCTTTCTGTAAAGTGAGAACAAAATAACACCCCACACACACACACACACACACACACGAAGGGTTGTTAGGACAAAATGAGTTGGTACCTAAATTGTACTTAGAATAGTGCCGTCACACAGTCAGCAGCAAATACTGTGTTGGTCCTCATTCCATCAATATTACTGTGCAAATGGCCAAGTCCCACTGTTGCTGGAATCCTGGGTGAGGGTAGAAATACTGGCTTAAGGAAAATGGAGTGTCTAATACTTACAGAATGCTATACTGTAACAAGTGTAATACTATATAGTATAACATGTCAGTTTGCAATGTATTATGTATAACATGCTCTACTGAAATATATGGTCATATTAGTGATTACTGTCGTTGGTGATGACCAGTTATGAGAGGACAATGGAGGAGAAGGAATTCCAGCCTGGCAATGCCCCCGGGGGATGATTTCTCACTTTCTGTCTGCCTGTCTGTGTCTCCGGAGAGTGCCTGTGCCTTGTAGCAAAAATTTCTCTTAAAAAAAGAAAAAGATAATCTTGGCCCAGCCGCACTGGTGCAAGAGGTAGGGCATCACTGCCCGTTCCTGGGGCTGTATGGGAGGCCTGGATTCAGTCCCCAGACCAATCTAAACAGGCTTGGTGCGGGTTCAGCGTGTGTACCTGGATTCCGAGCTCATTGAGAGGCTGGGGAAGCAGGGTTGTAACATGGTGAGACCCTGTTTAAAAAATTTTTTTTCCCTCTTCCTCACAAAAGTTAAGAGAAAACAATATTTTTTTCTGTAAATATGAAATATTATAAACCATCTACTTAAGTGCTGTTTTGGCTAAAATAAGAATGAGGTTTGAGGAAAGGGGAGAAAAGAGTGAGTTGAGAGAAAAGCAGAGTAGATGAATAAAAGTGGAAGGAAGGATAGGAGATAGTGAAGGCAAAGGTGACTACCATTTATTGAAGCGCCTTCATCCTAAGCTTGTGTCTTTCTGGACGGTTTCCATGATATTCCATTTGAGCACTGTAGTCATTTGAGATAGGTGCTTTTATCCTTATTCAATAGGTGAGGGAACTGAGGCTCAAAGAAATAGACTCTTGTCAGTGGTATGTCAGAGACAGAGTCAATTATACATCAATAAAAGTGGGGGGAAATGGCAGAAAAACGTTTAAAAGCCCAAGAAAATTCTGAAAAATGAAAGTGGGAATGGAGATAGGGAATTTGATGAAATATTTTTAAATATGTCAAAACAGTATTTTTTTTTAAAGCACTGGGACCAGCAGATGGCGTAATGGTTACATCACTGGACTCTCACCTAGTCAACCGCTGTTTGAGTCAGAGACCGGTGGCTTCAAACACGTGTATTTGCATGTGTGCCCAAGATCCGGAGAGGAGAATAGAGAAGGAATTGCGGTGTGGCCATGCCCCCGTGGGTGATTTCTTGCTTTGTCTGTTTCTCTCTGGCGAGCTCACACGCCCTATAGCAAAAACCCTCTTAAAAAAAGAAAAAAGAAAGAACAAGAGGAGGAGAGACGGGATGCGTGGTAGAAGACGCTTGTGGGAAGGACAGGAATGCTCAAAACCGGCCCTTGTTCTCCAGCCATGCTTCTTCCTAGGAATCCTAGACACTTGGAACCCCTGTCGCCTGGGTCGAGTAGCAGGCCAGTACTATCAATAGAACCCAATTGCCCCCAAACCACACCCACGCCCACGCCCTCTCCATCCTCTGCTCTACCGCGCACGCGCCCTGGAGCCTACGCCTCCGCGCAGTCGCGCACGCACCTGGCACTTGTCACTGCAGCTGACGCCCTAGGTCCTGACTCAGGCAAGCGTTTAGGGTGGGGAGGGTTGTATTCGTCCGCAGGAGCGGCTGTAACAAAGCACCTGAGACTGGGCGGCTCAATCAGCAGAAATGTGCTGTCTCACAATTTCGGAGCCAGAAGTCGGAGATCAAGGTGTCAGCGGGGTTGGTTTGTGCTGAGGTCTCTGCCTGGCGTGCAGAAGCAAGTCTCACACGGGCTCTCCTCCGTGCATATCTGTGTTCTCACCTCTTCTAAAGACACCAGTCAAAGAGGATCAAGGCCTCCCTCAAGACCTCGTTTCAACTAAACCACCGTATTAGGAACCGTATCTCCAAATACAGTCCCGTACTGAGGTCCCAGGGGTTAGAAGGATCAGGCGAGGGCATAATCCGCCCAGTCCTCCTCACTTGTCTCCATTAGCCCAGCGGTGGGCAGAGGACCGATAAGAACTGCTTTTTGTTTGTTTGTTTGTTTGTTTGTTTTTTGGCAGAGGGCCTGAGAATCTCCCGACCACAGTGGACATGGAAAGGTAAGTTCTCTCAGAGAAACTACAAAGGAAGCAGAGCAGTCAGTGGTAAGTGCAGGAGATAACAGATTCTGGCAAGCCAGATGCCAATTCAGCATGCCTGGACCAGCTCTGGGGAGGTTAGTGGTTTCCTACCATCGCACACCTGAATGTTAGTGCCTGGAGGAGTCAAGATATCCAGAATTGTTTCTATGGTTAGAAATCAAGACTGGGTCCTACATCATCTCCAGGACTGTTCAGCCTGAGAGGCACATGTTTAAAATAAAATGAAGAGCAGTAGTTGGGGACAATGAACCACATGCAGCCTCAAATCAGCACTGTCTAATAGAGGTAGAAGGGGAGCCACACACATAATTTTGAATTTTCTGGTTATGTTTAAAAAATAAAAAAAGAAACAGGTGCAATTAATTTCTCTAATTTTTTTATCGCAGTAAAATACACATAACACACTTACCATTTGACAGTGAGCAATGCAGTGGCATTTAGCACACCCACAGAGTAATATGCAACCATCACCTCTAGCTAGTTCCAGAACATTTTCATCACCCTCAAGAAAACCGCATGCCCGTTAAGCAGTCACCCCACTTCCCCCTCTTCCCAGCCCCTAACAACTAATCACAAATCTGCTTTCCATTTGAATGCCTGTTCTCAGTTTCTGTGACTATATGCCTAGGCCTGGACTTGCTGAGTCCTATGGTAATTCTGTTAAGTTTTTGAGAAACCATGAAACTTTCCACCATGGTTGCACTATACTTTAATTTTAATAGAATATTGCATTTATAGTCACTATATCCAAAATATTATGATTTCAACAAGTCATCAATATAAAAAGCATGACTCAGACTGAAATGTTCTTTATTTTGCCATAGGTTTTTGACCCTGGGTATGCATTTTTCACTCACAGCACATCTGATTTCAGACTGTTTGCTCAATGCTCAATGACCATGCATGACTGGGGGCTGCCTTCTTAGGCAGCAGAGCTCTAGATCAAACTGTGTTTTATCCTTTCCCTCGCTCTCTGCAAATTTTCTAGTTTGTTGTCTCTCTTTTTATTTTCCCCTGGGAAGTGCTGAGGTCTCCATAATTCCTGGACTCCAGAAAGAAGAGAAGGCAGCTGTGGAGAAACGCAGCCCCAAAGTGTTGAAGGCTCTGAAAAAGCTAAGCATCCAGGCCAATGAGGTGAGGTGGGGGGAGAGGGTCCTGGGGATTCAGGACTGCCCCTTCTGTGCCTGTGCCCAGGGCCCTTCTCAGCCAGGGCAAGCTGGAGTGAAGAGAAGAAATACAGGGGTACAGACTTACACCACCAGAGTGGTGACACAGGCCAGCAACAGTCCTGCCCACAGGAGAGTAGGACACCCTTCTTGCTCCTCACCCCACCTCCATACTCTGAGCCTCTAATTGGTCTTCTCCCCAATGTCTAGGCCCCAGTGATTGCCATGCTGGGCTCAGGAGGGGGGCTGCGGGCCCACATCGCCTGTCTCGGGGTCCTGAGTGAGATGAGAGAACAGGGCCTGTTGGATGCTGTCATGTACCTCGCAGCAGTCTCTGGATCCACTTGGTAAGTGTGCTTCAGAATGGGAGGGTGAGGAATGCTTTCTCCTAGCAAAAAGATTTTTTGCTCCTGACACCAAATGTGTGTTGTCTTTTCCAAAATCCCTTCTCCAGCTCTTTGTCACCAATTGGGTGTCCTACAGTTCATTTCTTTTTTTTTTTTTAATAAAAAAAAAAGCTTATTTATTTCTTCAGAAAGAGAGAGAATAAGATTTCTAATAGGGTCTTCATGCCACTTCACGAGGGAATGAATTGTGGCATGCTCAGGGAAGTTCTGGGATGTGAACCCAGGACCTCTTCCGAGTGGGCCCAGTTGCATTGTCACTGCATCACCACCAGGCCCCACAATTCAACCCAATCCTGATACTCTCTACCTAAAGTTAGAGTTGAGGGAGTGCCATCCCATCAGGCCGTTCCCCCACTTAGGATGCCAGTCACAACTCCCACGCCACCAGCGGTTCTGACTGGCTGTGACCTGGGACTTCCTGTGACCTCCTGCTCATGTTCAATAATTTGCTGAAATAGCTCCTAGAACTCAAGAACATGCTTTAATTATATTTCCAGGTTATTATAGAGGATACAACTCAAGAACAGCCACATGGGAGAGGTGCATAGGGCGAGGCGTGGGGAAGCCACACAAAGATTCAGTGCCCTCTCCAGGCAGCCACCCTCCCAGTATCTCTACCTGCTCACCAACACACATGCTCTCTGAACTCTGAACCCTGCTGTCAAGGTTCCATTATGGAGACATGATGGATGGCGTCATTGGCCATTGGTGATTGAACTCAAACTCCATGCTGCAATCCCTTCTCCTCCATTCTCCTCTTGGGATCTTGGGTACACACGCACATGCACCCAGCATGAGTTTAAGCCACCAGGTCCGGGACTCGACAGGCGGTCGACTACATGGGAGTCCAGCAACATAACCATTATGCCAACTGCTGGTCCCTTGAACTTTTTTTTTTTAATGTAAATTAATCATCCATTTCCTCTGTTTGATACTCCATCCATAAGTCATTGTCTGAGGTTACTGACTCTCTCCCACACACCGTCCTCAGCCTTCATCATCTACACGTCCAGTCCTGACCCACTCTCCTTCCATCTCTCTGTCCCCCCAGGGCAATGTCTTCATTCTATACCAATAGTGGTGACACAAAAGCTATCGAGGCTGAGCTGAAACGTCGATTTGACCAGAAAGAGTGGGACTTGGACAAGAGCCTGGAGAAGACTGTTAAAGCAGCAAAGTTGGAGAATTACTCTCTGACTGACTTTTGGGCCTACCTGGTTGTCTCCAAGCAAACCAGAGAAGTAAGTGGCTTCTCACTGGGGACTGGAGCTGGGGGCCAGGGTGAGGGAGCTCCAGGCATAGGGTTCCAAAGATCTGGACCAACACCAGCTTTGAAGTCTTCCATAGCTTTCAGGTCTCCCAAGTCTGGGCACTTAGCTCTTGTTTTGACATTATAATTAATCAGGATTGCTTTGGTTGCAAGTTAAAGAATTTGACTCTAATTGATTTATGCAAAAAAGGTAATATGATTTATTGGAAAGATACAAGGGCATCAAGGGCAGGAAGGATGATAAGGGATCGTGACAGAATATAACAGAACCAAGTGAAGTGTCAGTCCCTGGGCAGATTGTCTCTGCATTTCTCCATGGCCTCTGGATGTCTTGAACTTAATTTATTCTTCACTTTCAATTTATTCTTCACTTGTATGTGGCAAGTTCAAAAAGTATATGGATAGAAGAGTTAAAGCATGAGTTTATTTTGGTGCAAAAATTTGTGAAATCCATGTATAGCTTTTTCATGATGCACATTTTCCGTGAATTTTTTAGAGGACCCCTTATAATCTGTTCTGTTTACTCGACAGACGGGATTTTTCTGCTTCTCCACATACTTAGTGGAGAGTGTTTTCCCCAGCCCCAGAGCACCATTGTTTTCACCTTCAGAACTTCCAATCAAGTGACCCCATGACCCAGGCCCCAAATACCTGAAGACATCACCTGGCCAGCTCATTGTGGGGCAGCCGCTACTCAAGGGCCAAGCATCTGTGGCTGCCTGGGCAACCTCAGTGTGGGGTGTAGGAGGAGGGTTACGATGACTGTGGGATGGAAACCCAAAATGGATTTTTCTCTCCAATGAATTCCTTCCATTTTAACTGTTGGATGGAGCCAAACAATGTCACAGTCTCAGAAACGGGAGCAGAGAGACATAGAAACCTGAACTAGGAATGAGGATAAGGGGAGAAAGGAAACTGGGGTTACTGGTGGCTGTGGCAGGATTTACAGTGGATTACGTCATCTGGAAAGCGGGAGCTATTCAGCAGTGACCAAGGGAATTGGGTTCCTGTGGTCGAGGTGAGCATGAAAGTGGAATATTCTCTCTTTTTAATATTGACAATTTGTTGTTGTTTAAAGTTTACTTATCTCTTCCGTAAGAGAGAAGACAGAGTGAGACAGAGACAGGCACCCCCAGTACAGTCTTCATGCCATGATCCACCTGTCTCTCTTGGCCCAAACTGTGAGCATGTGTGTGCCCATGGGCTCAGGAAGGTCCCAGGACATGAACCCAGGACCCTTCCCATGTGGACTCAGTTGCATTACCACTGCACCACCTTCTGGCCCATTTGTTGTTCTTTAAGCCTTACTGAGGCACAATTGATAAATATATATACATAGATATGTACATATACATACATACATGCATACACACACATATATATATAATTAAGCACATATATTTAATGTTTTACAACAACATTTATACTTGACTGAGTTTGGACATATTTATACACCATGATACCATAACCACAATCAAGGTGCTAAAATATACTTATCACTTCTAAAAATATCCTGTGTTTGTGTGTGCTTTGTTTTGTGTGTGTGTGTGTTAAACACACTTAACATGAGATCCATTCTCTTTAATTATGTTAAGTGAAATAAGCAAGTCACAGAGGACAAATACTGCACAAATCAACCTGTACGAAATACCGAAAATAATAAAACTCAGAGAAGCAGAGGACAGAATGTTGTTTGCCAGAGTCTGAGGGTGTATGTATGTGGTGGGGGGATTATTGCTCAGTGGATATAACATTTAGTATGCAAGATGGATAGTTTCTAAAAAGCAGCTGTGTGACAGTATCTACGGTTAACAATAATGAATCGTGCCCGTTAAAATATGCTAAGATGTGTGTATTCTGGAAGTTGTACACACAAGCCCTGCTATTCACCTTCTGTAAGTGGCATTTGCTCACTCAGGTTAAAGCAAAGACAGGAATGTTTGTAGCCTTCTCTTGGGAATCTCCCATAGGATAAACTTTTTCTTCCACCCAGTTACCCTCTTCTGTTGTACTAATAGGTTCCTAAGGGTTTTCAGGTGGGGATTCTCCAACTCAAACACTTTCAATTGCTTGAACCCCATGAAAATATATGTAAGGGCAAATGAGCTGAACAGACAACTCTCTAAGAAAGACATACAAATGGCCAAAAAGTACATGAAAACATGCCTGACAGCTGTTAATAAGGGAAATGCAAATCAAAAGCACAATGAGATAACATCTAACCTCAGTCAAAATGGCCAAACTTAAAAAAATAAAGAATGATAAGTGCTGGTGAGGCTATGGTGAAAAGGGAACTCTCCCACGCTGTTGGTGTGAATGATAATTGGTACAACTGTGGAGAACAATATGGAGGTTCCTCAGAAACCTACAAATAGAACTACCATACAGCCCAGAATTCCACTCTTAGTTATCTACCCAAAGGATAGGAAAACTCTCAGTTGGAAAAATACTTGCACATTCATGTTTATTGCAGCATTATCTATAATTGCTAGGACATGGAATCAACCCAAATGTCCAAAAATAGATAAGTAGATTGAAAAAATGTAGCACGCTTATTCTATGAAATACTATTCAGTCATAAAAAGCACTGAGACCATGACATTTGATACAAAGTGGACAAATATGGAAGATTTAATGCTAAAGGAAGCCAAGTCAAACTATGAAAGAGAGGCTTTGTATGTCTCCACTTGAATATATACTTAATGTCTGCGCTCTATGGCAGAAACTGAAAGACTGGCAGGTTTAATAACAGGGAGGGCAACTATAGATACTAGAGGTAGTATAGGGGAGGACAGGGGATGAGTTAGAGGGGAGGGAGGGGACCAGGGAAGAAAACAAATGATACATTTAATTGACACAAAAATGAAAAGTTATTTACTGATGATAATGTATACGGCAATATACTGTATTTGTACTGGGAAAAACCATGCTGTACAGTGTAAAGATGTACAGTGATGAAATGTAAATACATTTTTTAAAAAAGTATGTAGGTAGCTCCAAGATAGCCATGGTGTTGTTCGCCTTGTTCACCTATGCCTTATAAAAACCCAGACTTGGGCCAGCCCCATGGCCTAGGGGTTGAAAGAAACAGATCCCACGTGGCCAACCACATGGTTGAAATCCTAGCCTTGATGGCTTAAAAAACATGCCCCACATGTGTGTGTGTTCCCAGGATCCCTCCAGCATGGAAAAATGGAGAAGGGATTGTGCCATGATCCTCCCCATCGTGGGGCGCTTTTGCCCTCTCTCACTCCCTGTCTCTGCCTCTTTCTGATGAGTGTATATGCCCTTTGACAATTAAAAACAAACACAAAACCTAAGCTTTGCAGTCAGAAATCTTCACTTAAATCTTGGTGCTGCCATTTTTTTTTTGGGGGGGGGGGGGGGGTTTCTTTTGCTATAGGGGGGGTTTTTTTAATGCTATATGGCGCGTGTGCTCACCAGACAAACAGACAGAGAGACAGAAAGTGAGAAATCACCCCCCAGGGGGATGGCCATGCCACAATCCCTTCTCCTCCGTTCTCCTCTCGGGATCTTGGGCACACACGCACACACACATGGTGTGAGTTTTAAGTCACCGGGTCCAGGACGAGAATTGTGGTCGACTACATGGGAGTCCAGTGACATAGCCATTATGCTAACTGCTGGTCCCAGTGCTGCCATTTTTAACTGTGTGACTTTGGGTGCATCCCTTTACTTTTCTGAGGCTTAGTTTCCTTAGGTGCAAAACAAATGAAAGAAAACATCACCTAATAAAGCTCCATTATATTGAGAAGGAAACCAAGGGAGGACGAGATGAGAAGAACTGTCCAGGCCTGCCCAATCAGTAAGTGGTAGATGTGGAGACCAAACAGGGCAGTCTGTGTCCAGAGCCTGCACTTTTAACCATGCCCAAGTCACCTTCCCAAGGTGCAGGAGCAGGACAAAAGTACACAGGGAAGGCTGCAGTTGACACTTCCCTGGAAGGGAGAGGTATTGAGGAAAGGGACATCAAGAAGATGACATCCATTTTAAACCACTCATTGATCACCTATTATGTGCTCTGAGCTAGTTCAAGTGGGTTTTCAAAGATGACTAGGAAAGAAAAGAAAGGACATTCTCACAAAAGGCAGACCTTGTGCAAAAATTCCACCCACGAGGGGAGGCATAGTAGCACACATGCACTCCCCCAACACTCAACCTTGGTACTTTCTCTCCAAAGCTGCAGGACTCCTGTTTGTCCAGCATGAAAAAACAAGTGGAAGATGGGACACTGCCCTACCCAATATTTGCAGCCATTGACGACGACCTCCAAACTGCATGGGAGAGGAAAAAGGCCCAGAGTAAGCAAACCATTGGGGAGATGGGAAGATGGGAGCAGATTGAAGGGTATTGAGTGAAATGTGAGGGTTTCTCTGACCTCCCTTTTCAGGAGCCCAGGCAGAGTGAAGGACTTGTAGAAGATTGAGTGGAGGGAACAGCATACTCAGTTTACAGGAGAGCAAAGAGAAATTCCAGAAGCAACCAGAGTACACACACTTGTTTGTGCAGATAAGAAAATTATAATAGGGACTAGCAGATGGCATAATGATTACATTGCTGGACTCCCATGTAGCCGACCACGGTTCAAATCCTGGACCTGGTAGCTTAAAATTTGTGCTGGGCACGTGTATGGACATGCCCAAAATCCCAAGGAGAGAATAGAGGAGATGGGATTGGATTATGGCCATTCCCCCTGGAGGGTGATTTCTCACTTTCTGTTTCTCTGCCTCTGTCTCTCTGGTGACTGCACATGCCCTGTAGCAACAGTCTCTCTCTTAAAAAAAAAATTTTTTTTTTTAAGTTGTAATATGGGATGTTTGAGGTACAACAAACTCACTTTTTTCTTTTCTTTTCATTTTGTCAGAGAGAGCATACTCTTACTAGAGAGAAACAGAGACAGAGCTTTCTGGGAGAAAGCACCCCCAATGGGATGTGGTCACACCATAATCCCTTCTCCTCCATTTTTCCATCCTACTGGGACTTAGGGCACACTTGCATATGCACCGAGCATGTTTTTCAAATCACCGGGGCTGGGACTCTCACTGTGGTCAACCACATGGGATCCAGCTCTCCCAGCTCTTAACCAATAGGCTACAGAACTCACCCATCACTTTTTTCTTTTTTTATGCTTATTTATTTATGTATTTATTGAGAAATAGAAGCACTCCCAGCAAGGCCTGGTCATGCCATGATCCGCTTCCTCTAGTTCTCCAGCCTGTCAGGACCTTGAACACGCATGTACAGCTGGTGTGCTTTCAGGTCACCTAGTCTGCAGAGTTGAACCTTGGTCAGCCTGTGGCTGTCAGCTCGACAGTTCTGCCTGTTCCCAGCTGCGCCATAGTGGCTGAGCCTCTGTGTCTGACGATCCCTGTGTGACTCACCTCTCCTCATTTTAATCCATTGTCCTCTTTTCTGTCACCTCTGGGTCAGATTTTCTTGTCTCTTGGGAGGAATCTCATAATTAGTTCCCTACTGGCCTCCCTGTTCCAAGCCATCATCTCCTGCCATGGCTGCACAATAGAAGTTTCCAGAATAAAAATCTGACCACATGATTTCCTTCCCTAAAGTATTGTAAAGACTCGCATTGGGATAATGGATTAGGCTTGGGCTCCCAGATGAACCTCCGTGCTGTCGCATGGCAGTGATCTTTCCCTGCCC